GCCACTATGAAAATAGAATACTGGATTAGATGAGACTTTGGTCTTAGCCAGTAGGGCTGTTCTTATAGTTATTTCTGGCTGGATGCCTGACATTCCTAGACATCCCATGCACTTTGGTGTCTCAGAACAAGACAATCTTTAAATGTTGTACTTAACCTAGGGTTGAAGCGTGTTCATCGATCAAAGCCTGCTCTACCAGAATTAGTTGGATGTTCCCTATTGACATCAATAGATGCCCACTAAATATCCTGCACTACACACATAAGTACTGCAAATATAAATGAAAGTTGACCATACCATATATATTTTCTATATGCACTCACGTCCCAGCTGGTGTTCTAGTTCCCTAATACATATGTCCTATTTGTTTTCACATTGAGATACTTTTACCAGCAGATGGTAGTATTGTAGTGTTGAAACCTAGAATGCAATGTGCAGGAATTATTTTTAGCTCTCTCTTTTTGGAACTTTCCAGTAATGTTGCTCCAAGATTTTCTCAGAATGTTTGTAATAGAGTTCTTTCTAAGTGTGTTTATCTGGTGAATCAACACATCTTTCATTCACGACCTTGTATGCAATTGGATTGTTCACCGATCATCTATGATGTCAGCAGCAATATACCAGCAGACATTTAACCTGGAGGTAATTTGCAGAGATTAGAAGCCTGATGCATTAAACATACATGTGGTACAAACAATATGACTGCAAGTAATTCCTAGAAAATAGTTTTCGAGGTATGAACTGTAGTTAAACATAATAGATACTGGACTAAAAACTAGAATCATGAAAATATGACCAGACAATCCTTTCATTATGTCTGACAAATGCAAAAGCTTTCATACTCTCCTCCCACCAACAGGCAGAGAAATAACATGTATTTCTGAACCAATTAGAGAACTAGTCTGTAAAAGCTACCCAACTTGAGTATACACACATACTGCTGTCACAATTCACTCCTTTAAAAGGTTAATCAAAGCTACTGAGCTATTAACTATATTTTCAAAGAGAATGAGCATGAACCCTCACCATGTAGAGCTGGCAGTAATTTGTCAGATTCTGACTACCAGACTGCGCTTTGCTAACAAGTCTAGGAAGTTTGCAGACACCAATAGAAAGTACACCTCTGCTATACTTTTAGGTTCAGAATCAGCTGGAGTGATCATAGCATTTATGTGTCTATAATTTCAAAGAACTCCACTTTGAAATGGGAACAGTATGACTTTATGAAAGGTTAATTGGGGCTGCGGGAAACAACAGCCTTCACACAGCTCATTTCAAAATGTGATCTGGCTAATTGGCTGCTTTTCTTTCACTGAAACGAGACCCATTTATGAGTGTGAAAGAACAGGCTAGCTACAAACTGGCTCCCACAGCAGCAAGACTCTGCTGCCTTATCTCCTGTGCTAAAGGTAAAGGTAAAGGGATCCCTGACTGTTAAGTCATGGACGACTCTGGGGTTGAGGCACTCATCTCACTTTACTGGCCGAGGGAGCTGACGTTTGTCCAGGTCATGTGGCCAGCATGACAAAGCTGCTTCTGGCGAACCAGAGCAATGCATGGAAATGCCATTTACCTTCCTACGAGAGTGGTACCTATTTACTTGCACTTTGATGTGCTTTCAAACTGCTAGCTTGGCAGGAGCAGGGACCGAGCAACGGGAGCTCACCCCGTCGCAGGGATTCGAACCACCGACCTTCTGATTGGCAAACCCTAGGCTCTGTGGTTTAGACCACAGTGCCACCCGCGTCCCTGTGCTACTAATTCCCAGCACGTGCCTTCCAGACTAAGCTCTGTTTCTCAAGGGTGCCATCTAGGCTTCAATAGCAAGCTGGCAAGGATCAATCTGGCTCCACCAACCAGCCTCACAATGTGATTTTCAGTCACAGCAGGGCCTTGTCCTCCTCTCTCATGCTAAGCCTGCCTATCTTGAACAATGTTGTCCACTAGACCTGGATTGTGCCACTGGTCCCATTAGACTGACTGTTACTTTCCACCCCCTAAACCCTGAAACCTGATTACTTGGGGCCTGAGACCTCTTGAATCAGGAGCGTACCAGCACATACACACACACCCTCTGTAAGGGTTTCTGCACACAGGCTATTATGCTGGTGCTGTTACATTATTGATATGTCTTGGAGTCAAGAAACTTGATCTCCCAAAGGCCTTTGATGGTATCTTCCTGGACCAACTTAGTGGGATGGATAATGGAGGCACTGTATTTTGGTGGTTCCACTCATAACTTCAGGGTTGTGTCCAGACAGTAGCACTGGATGAGTGTTCCTTGGCCCCCTGGCACTTCTGCTATGGGGTTCCACAGAGTGCTATTCTCCCTCAGTGCTATTTAATATTTTCAAAGCCATTGGGCGCAGTCATTAGGAGTTTTGGAGCAAGGTGTCATCAGTACACTGATGATACACAGCTCTACTTCTCCATAACATCGGAATCAGAGCATTTCAGTTCTTTTGCCTTCAATTCTAAAAGATCCAGGTAGCTATCAGCCTGGATATATAGCAGATAATTCCTTCCTATAGCAAAATCAGACTGAGTGCCAACAGGAATGTAAGAGGAATATATATATATATATATATATATATATATATATATATATCATATTTAATTTTCATAAGGTCAAGTGTATCGTCACTCTGTAGCAAGATTGTGCCTTGCCACACACACACACACACACACACACACACACACACCCATATTCAGGTGAACCTCATAGTATACAGAAATACAAAACATTTTCTTTTCTTTCAAATAAAAGGCACTGTAGAATGAAGTCCATTGTGAAACAGACAAACAAACATGTTCAGAGGATTCCAGGAGCTATGGAGCATTGAGTGACAGAAAAGAAAACCAACGGCAAGGGAATGAATTTGTCTGTTTGCAAGGCACAATCTTGCTACAGAGTGACGATACACTTGACCTTATGAAAATTAAATATGAAAGAGATGTTTTAAAAATACTCTTCTCTCAAGGAGGAAATTCCTCTCAGAATGGATTTCCAGATTTCTCAGAATGTGCAGGATCAATTCACGTGGAAAAAGCAGCAAGGTCTTCCTGGGAACCTTGAAATGCAATCTGGCAGTGGTTGTTCCACATGTCGTCTGCAGCAGTATGCTGTGCAACTCTGGTTATTTTCACTACTCCACTGCAAGCCACACACCAATGAAAACATGGACTTCAAGATGGGAGGGATTCAACTAGCAAGCCTCACCATCAGAAGCCAGCACAATGGCTTTTGATAGTGCAGTGAGGCCTATCTCATCTCATGGCTCCAAACAGTTAACTTGGGCGGGGTTGGGGGGGGGATCAGGAACAGTGCAAAGTGAGAGGAGTAGACAGATAATATCATCAGGCTAGCAGAAATGCCTGTGATGATGGAGTGATCTGCCTAGTGCTATACAGTGGTACCTCGGGTTAAGAACTTAGTTTGTTCTGGAGGTCCATTTTTAACCTGAAACTGCTCTTAACCCAAGGTACCACTTTAGCTAATGGGGCCTCCCACTGCTGCCGCACCGCCACCTCACAATTTCTGTTCTCATCCTGAAGTAATGCTCTTAATCCGAGGTACTATTTCTGGGTTAGCGGAGTCTGTAACCTGAAGCGCCTGTAACCCAAGGTACCACTGTACTAAATTTCTTCCCCTACATCTGAAACTTGTGCTTTGACACTGGACTATGACCCTGCCCTTTAATAAAATGAGAAAACCTTGCTATATATGCACTCTTGAAAATACACCATTGTAGCCCAGTGTTGCCTGTTCTGAGTTGTAATGACTCCAGTCTATGGTCTCAGGAATGGGTGTTCTCCTGCTTTGCCACTGAGATCTTTTAAGTGGAAAGTCTAGGAATTCAATTTAAGGAAAGTCTAAGCTCCCTCTCAGCCAGGAGGGTTTGAAACCACAACCCCATAGACAATAAGCAAACAAGTGTGCCACAATTAGTCCAGTGAGTCATAGGTGGAATAGCCTCCACATTGTGGCATTTCAAGCAGCCAGCACATGGCTGCTTATTCTTTGAACTGGGCCCGGGATGACATTCTCATTCAACTCTAACGAAAGCATGTGAAGAATCATGGCCTTTGGCCTTGACTCTCAAAGCAGCATCATGGTGCAAGTCTCATGGGCTGCCAGCAGAGTGCTTGTGGGAAAATAATAGACCTTGTGCTGCCTGGAACTAGGCAAGACAGTTTATTATTTTATGGGTGACTATACTATATACCCATCTAGATCTAAGACACGTGACTCACTCTCATTCAGAAGTGACAGGGTGGGATGCTCCCTGCTGAGTAGTTTGCTGTCAAGGGCACCTTAAGGTGTGATCTTCTGAGCTTATTACCACCTAGTTCTATGTGGAGCATACTGGATATTTAGGATGTCTTGAAAAGGAATTCAGGCTGTCAAAATAAAATAAAATAAAATAATCAGGTTATGGCTGGGAATGGATTAATAATAAAATTGTGAGTCCCGTCCCCTTAAAAAAAGGTAAAGGTAAAGGACCCCTGACGGTTAAGTCCAGTCACTAATGACTCTGGGGTTGTGGCACTCATCTCGCTTTATCCCCCTTAGGCATCTCAAATACACGCCCCAATTATTGTTCTTTTTTGGGTGGCTTGTAACTATTTCAGGTATGACATTTGTTGCGGCCGTGTTCGATTCACTCCCAAGCTTTATGAAATTGTACTTGAAAGGGGTGAAATCACATGCGAGTATTTTTTTTAGTGGGGTGAGAGTATTTTTTTAGTGGGGTGTGTGATTCTGATCTACTCTTGAATTAAAGGAAGAGCGAAATTCCAGGAAGAGGACGTGCCTTATCTTTCAGCAGCAATGACTCCACTTTCTGCAGAGCGTTATAAAATTGCTGTCGTCCAACTATTATTTATTTCCCAATGCTGCGCCAGGAACAAACGTGGGGTGTAAATCATAGACTTTTTCAAAACTTCGGCGGAAGGAAACCATCAGCCTAATAAAAGAGGCGGCCGGCAGCTGCCCCACTACTCAAGGCAGGGAAACGTGCTGCTGCTCCTCGCCCTGTGGGCGCTTGGCCCCTCTTGCCAAATGGCTACTCGCAACGCCCGCCAGGCTTCCCGCTGCTGCTCCCCGCCTCTAACGGCCTTCCTTTTCTGCCTCCGCGTTGGCGTGCGGGTTTCTCCGCGTGTCTACTGGGCTAGGATCATTGCAGCATCCGACGTCATCCGCCCCTGATTGGCAGGGCTCCGAGGCCCGGCCCTGCCCTCCTTCGCTCTGATTGGCAGAAGGACGCGGTCCGGCCCCGCTTTCCTGGAAAGTTCTTGGAAATCTATCAAAGGTATTTCCTTGAACGCAGAGAGCGGCGGCAGCCAATGCTGGATAAGCCTGAAAACAACCAGCAACTTTTTCAGCTGGATCCCTTGAAAAACCCTCTCCCTTTCCAGCTGGGGGATATTTTGGTGATCTGTTGGGGGAATTATTTTAACTCCAGGAGAGCAAGCCTGACAGCAAGGTCTCTGCTACGGACGCATCTATTTATATATTTCTCTCTTTTTTCTTGTTAATGTCGGCACAGTGATGTGAATACAATACAATTCCAGGAATCCACCACTTCCTGGAATAGATTAAAAGGGAGCAAACAAAAGATTACTTAGTAGTGGCTTCCCCCCTCCCAGAGCTTCAAGATTACTTCAAGAGGCAGCGTCGAGGCGAGCTGCAACTCTCTCTGCTCACTTCTTCCACGCGTTTAAGACGAGAGAGAGATTTATTTATTGAGACGTATTTATTGATTTTTCTTTCCAGTTGTTGGTGATTTTATACGCCACCGGGAAGGAGATTTCTTTCCTTCTCTCATATTCTTTTATTTTCCCAGTGTAATTTTTTTTAAAAAATTCACCTCTGCAAGAGTTCAGTGGAAAACTGCTAAGGTTACGTACCTTTTCTTACTCGTAACTTGCTGAGCAAAGACTTTCTGGATACCTCAAACTGTCTGCTTTTCAGCGAGTGATCTCCAAGGTGCTTTTGAGAAGGCTTCTGGGTCTTCATCCAGCCTTCTTTTTCCGAGTCACTTGCTAGCCGATTGTGGTACCTCCTGTTTGGGAACAAAGACCGAGCATAAAGAAGACAACCAAAAGAGGGAGAGCTTTTCCCCCAGTTCCCCGAAGACTTGATGCTCTTTCCTTGGTCCTGGAGTGACATGATCCTCTGTGTTCAAGGGTAAGATCCCTCAAAGACTTTACAATTTTCTTATCCCACTTTAAAAAGTACTGAAAAGGTATTGTGGAACAAGTCCTCAAACTCCCTTTTCTTTAAATAAGGGATTTCAATTCAAATCAGTGTGTGTGTTTAAGTTACTTTATTTCAGTTGAAGGTCACCCTTTGTGCAGGTTCCCATTTTAAAAAAGGTAAACATGCAGCACATCAAGTTAACAAAATTCAATACGCTTTTAAAAGAAGTGGAAGGAAGAGAGTTGCTGTTTCTATTGTGCGTGTTTGATTAAAGATGAACAGTGCAATCTTGTACATGTCCACTCAGAAAAAAAGTCCCACTGAGTTCAGTAGGCCTGACTTCTAGATAAGTGGGCATGCAATTGCAGCAAACAGGCTTTATAATCCTTCTTAAACTGAGGAGCGTGTGTGGGATCAACTGGAAGAGAATTCCAAACATACAGAAAACACTCTTGAGTTGGTACAGAACAGTTTGTTGTGAGTAGTAAAGGGCTACTGTTTTAACCATCTTCAGATAATTAAAAAAAACCCCAACAACACTGCAAAAATATACATAGATTGCTGTAACTGATAATAGCTTATCTACCCAAGACTCTGTGTGTGTGTGTGTGTGTGTGTGTGTGTGTGTGTGAGAGAGAGAGAGAGAGAGAGAGACAGATGTATACATGGCATGCTGGTCACACAACTATCTACATGATATTGCATTTGTGAAACTTAAGGACAGCATAATTTTTCAGTTTGACTAGATGTATCCCACTGTTCTTATCATCACACCAATGAGTCCCAACTAGAACTCATACTCGTGCTGCCAGACTAACATTTACAGTTGCTTCAGACATCAAGGGTTGGTACCTGTACACTAAGACTGCATGTTGTCTGACATTCCACACTCAAGCCATGTAAAATACTTACCTAGTTATAGTCATTAAGAGCTATGCCATTTAAAACTATTCCAAAAGAGAATCTAGAAGTTTTTGCCCCTTTCCACTCTGGCAAAGGTGGGGGTTTCCACCTCCTCTATTGCTTCTGTGTATTGCTGGCTAGACACCACAACGATTTTCCGATTTCTTTGTTTTCATTGCTAATACTTTCTGTTTGTGTGATGCGTCTCAAAACACATCTGCTCTAATTTAGTCTTTGTCCTCAGTCACACCATACATTTAAAGCACTATGAGACCACTTCAGTCATGGCTTCCCCCAAATAATTCTGGGAGTTGTAGTTTGTTAAGGGTGCTGAGAACTGTTAGGACACTCCCCCCCCCCAGCAACAATTCCCTGAGTGATTTTACAATCAATCCCTCTTCACAGGGAACTCTGGGATGGGAGGGGAATAGGGGGTCTCCTAACAACTCCCAGAATTCTTTGGAGGAAGCCATGACTGTTTAAAGCGGTATCATATTGTTTTAAGTGTAAAGCATTTAAAATGTAACACATTTTAAAATTGCTGTAATGGTGTGAATGTGGCCAAAGACTAATTTTATGTCTTAAATAAAGTGCCAGTAGCATATCTCGTTCCTCTTCCTCTGTTGGTTTACAGTTCATTTGCTTCCTGTGCTGGCTTTTAACCTGGGGCTCTCTAGAATTTTGTGCAGGTTAGAAGCCACTTGTCTCCTGCTCACTTAAGCAGAATTCCCAAGGGAGAATACAAAAGCACCCAATAAAGCACAGGGCTGGAGAATTTCCTGAATCTTCCTATCTTGCCATTTAACTTTGGTTTGCTGGGGAAGTAAGCAACTCCAGAACTTTCAGCTTTAGTTTCAGTGCTGCTAATTTATTTTTTATTCCCCAGTACTAATAATTATTTGGAAAAGGTTTGCAACCTTTCTTTAAAAGTGTGGAATGCCTTTCACATTTTCCTAAGTAGCTCAGCTTGAGAAGTGTACCGGTAGTTGTGTTAATTTCTGATTAAATCATTGTTGCTATTTTGATAGGTTCACCATTCATTCATTTAGAACTAGCTAATGGACCACATGTCTCATATCTCTTTAATCTTAGAAAGACTGACATTCCCCCAAGGGGCCCAGGTGATAGACATGTGGTTCGTCCTCAGAACAAACCTGCAAAGTAGATAGATCCATTGTGCTTCATGGATATAAGTCAAGATGAGAACCAGTCCAGAACAATCAACTACAGCACACTGGTTCTCAGTCTGTGTCCTTCCTCTGAGCAATCACACTTTGATGATGTAGAAGCTTTTCTGATACTCCCTAACCTCTTTTTGCAGGGAGGGTACAGTTTCATTTTTATTATTGTCCTGTCTGCCCTGTGTTTATGCCCAGTCTGCTTCAGTGTATGTTCCTCTCAGATCATATTTAGAAAGCTATTACCTCATTTGGCATGAACATTTTTATCTTCTTATCTTCTTGCACACCTACTCAAAGATATTCCCCGGCTTACTACTCGCACCAGCCTTTCTCGTATTCCCAGTTGCACTGGCAGAGCAAGGCAGGTGCGGTGCGCACCAGGTGTCAGCCGTGAGGGCGGGTGACATCGCCGTGCCACACCCACCCCCCCATGCTCGTCGTGCGGGCGGCGGGCCACTAGGGACGATGCTGCCGTGGGCAGCTCTCACACGTCTTCATCATTCCTTCTTTGCTGCAAATGCCTTTCTGTCTCACCCTGGTTGCCCTTCACTTGGTTGAAGCACAAAATTTCACTCTTGTCTCCCTTTCATACCCTAGTTAAGCAGCCAGGATGCATGGACTGCAAGGACTGTTTCTCTGAGGAGACCGAATGCAGGGAAAGACCTAGCAAAAAATGGTATTAACATCACAGAGCACAGCATCACTCCCCCTGCTGCAAAAACAAAACAAAACAAGGGGCAGACTAGAATACTTTTAAAATGTTATTTTAAAGAAAGGACGTGTGCTGCAAACTCCACGAATAAGATTTAAAGGACTGGGATAAGGTTATTTATTTCTACAAACAATAGAGGTTTGGGTTAAGTTACAGAGGAGACTGTTTCCACCATGTCAGGCCCTTTGCCCTCTCTGCCTAGTATTTGTAATCCCAGCAAGCAGACCTATGGTTCAAAGAAGCCCATGCCAAGTATCCAGTTCAGAAAATAAGATGGGTTACAGGGCCTCATGCCCTCTTCTCCTTTTGGCCAAGAAACTCTGAGGCCTTTAGAGCCTGCCAGCTGGAGTGGCTGTTTTGTTAGCTACTATTTGGGGTTGGTGCGTAAGGCTAGCTCATTGTCCGTTTGCTCATATGAGTGGTAAACATCCATCTCTAGGAGGGTGAGAGGAAAGGACGACGACATTACATTTTGTGCAAGAAAGATGAAACCACACAACAAAAGCAGAAGCTGATATTATTAGGATTTCCCTCCACCCTTACTATCAGAAGCATATTAGGAACAGATTTGGCCATTCTGTTCCTATAATATATGGGACAGGGTTTCCTAAGAATCTCTGGATTTTGTTTTGTTTTGTTTTGTTAATCTTTTAAATTATTTATTATTTACGTATGAGCCATTAAAATACATGTAGCTCTGCTGAGTTTCATAAGCAAATAAATGCAGAAACAAAACCCAGACTGAGAGCTTACAGTCTAAAGTAGGCAAGGAAGAAGACAGGGGAATGGGTGACAGAGACAAGGGCTGCAAGGGATTTATGGGCACAGATGCTTAAACTTGATTCCAGTTGGGAATGAGAATTAAACGTTATGCCGAAGATTTAAATATTTAGATTTCTACGCATGTAGCAGAATTCCCAGGACTGCTCAACATTTCCCTCATGAACCAGATATTTCCGAAAACAGACGGGCACTTTCGTTTGCGAGCATGAACCCTCCCACCTCATTATCTCTAATTCTGTGGGACTCCACATCTCCCCTCCCACAGAAAAGTATTAAGAACAAAGCAGATTCAGGTAATTGTGACATTCAATGACATTTCTCTCTTCCCCGTATGGGTGGAAGCAAAAATGAGTGCATCACAACAGAGAAAAGATCAGTCCAAAGTGTACAGTATTCCCTATTACAGGTACTGTAATCTTTATGGACTGCCCATTATAGTAACATTCAGGTCCAGTGATGGACCTGAACCAACTGAATTTGGAACGGAGAACTCCTGTAACGAAGCCTTGCTGGTACAGCTACTTCCTGCCTTTTCACTTTGTTAGTCATTTACTACCATGCAAATTACTGATACGTTCAGATTTGCCGGTTGCTATCACACCCACTTTGGAGAGTAAAGTGGTTACACAAGGTACAAAGAAACTAAGAGCCCGGGCCAACATGTGTAGGTGCTTTTGAAAGGCGGCATTAGAAAAGCTATGGAGTGGAACAGAATTGAGAAACTGAGTTGGCAAATGGTTCTTGGTCATGGTTTGCCTGAGAAGGACTGTGTCTCATGATTATGGAGGAAAGGTGTGGCCCACTGCAAAACTTTAGCACTGTGAATTTCTAGCAATGTCTAAATTTAGCACACAAATCATATTTGTTACTGTACTGCCTGCCGCCTTGCAATGGGTGTGTTCCAGATAAGGTTTTTGTGTTTTCGTGCATTTCCCCTTTTGGGGAGGTGCAAAAGCTTGCAGCTCAGAAAACAATTACTTAGAAGAAGAAGAAGATGATCACGGCATTCACATCCCTTGCGGGTGATACATGCACTTTTCTCTGTGCTTTTTTTGTTGACTCATCTTTAGACTTCCATATTCAACTGGGTTAATTGAAGGAAACCAAGCAGCAAGACCACCAGGCTATGTGGAGGGAAAAAATAACAACCAGCAGAATACAGTGGTACCTTGGGTTACATATGCTTCAGGTTACAGACTCCGCTAACCCAGAAATAGTACCTCGGGTTAAGAACTTTGCTTCAGGATGGGAACAGAAATCGCACGGCAGCGGGAGGCCCCATTAGCTTAAAGTGGTACCTCAGGTTGAGAACAGTTTCAGGTTAAGAACAAACCTCCAGAACAAATTAAGTTCTTAACCCAAGGTACCACTGTACCAATGGGAAAGGATGGATATGTAACCTTATCCCTTGTTTTCATCAAGGTGTGGTTGACACTGCATGCAATGTCTGCCATGCGTTGGGGTGGGTTTTTTCAACCAAAGAAGTGGCAGGCTGTACAACCAAAGCAGAAAGGCCTTTTGCAAATGGGACTCAAACACTTTGACTTTGACTTTGCAGCAGAGCTGGATTTAGGGCAATGCAGGCCATTGCCCTGCACAAGTATGCCAAGCAAAATCATTCTTCTTTAACCAGGCCTTTGGCCAATGCCCTTTTAAAATGTGTTTTGGAAGTGGGGGGGGTGTTCCTTTGTTTTTGTTTTTATTACCCGTTTCCTGTTTTTTATATTGTAAGTTTATGCCCTGAGATCTATGGGTATAGGGCAGTATACTACTACTACTACTACTACTACTAATAATAATAATACGCAGAGTAAAAGAAGGGAGGGCACCCAATTTTGTCCTCACTCAGGGTGCCATATTACCAGAGTCCACCCCTGTTGCCAGTTCCACAGGTTTTCAGACAAGTTCACTTGGGGCTAATGAACAAGCTTCCAGTTTGTATTTCCTGATGGGTGCAGGCTTGTGGGTAGCTGGGAAAGAGTGGTGGGCCATGGAACTGGCAGAGGAGGAGGAGAGGGGCCAGACAATAAGTGTAGCAAGAACAGATCTGACTGTAGGCTGCCTGTAAGCTTATATGCTATTCTTTGACTCTTCACCTCTTAGAGATGTTGCGTAACACACGTGTACACACAAAATCGCTTCAACACTTTCCCCTGCATATGTGTTGGTAATTATTATTCAGGCACAGTAATGTTTGAGATGCAGTAGAATATTGAGCACTATATTTGAATAGCATAAGAGTGAATTTTAAAACTTATTCCAAATTTCTCTTTTAGTGCATTTGATTTTTAATGGGATATATTTAGGGAATCAAGTGAAGTTCTGTATGCATCTACTCAGAAGTAAGTGGATTCAGTGAGACTTGTTCCCACCTAATTGTTTATGGGTTGCAATCAAAGAGAAAGAAAAAGACTGGGTCTATAGGACTGAAAAGCCACAGGCATGGAGAGAGTGTTTGAGGCTGCAATCCTATATACAGTAATCTGGGAGCAGTTCCACCGAACACAATAGGACTCTTTCTGAATAGACATGCATAGGTTTGTGCTGTCAGTTATCCTCTGTCTGGGGACAAGCCTGCACGACTCCATTTATGTTTACTCAAAAGCAGATCCCACTCCCTTCAGTGGGTCTTAGTCCTTTGTGTGCTTATTATCACAGTTAAGTGGTGTGCATTTCTTCCCTTTCTTCCTCTGTTTATCTGCTTGTGCAGTGTAACAGGCTGTCACATAGTGGGTTAGTACAGTAGGAAGCAATGCGTTGATTCAACCTGGTTGCCAGGCAAGGTAAAAAAAACACAAAAAACTAATTCTAAATGCCCTTCCTTTCAGATCCCATCCTTTGCTGGCAGAGGAGAAGATCAGGAGCCTATCGCTTGGGGGCTTTGCAGCAAATCTGTCAGAGCAAGTCATGCAGCCTCTGTCAGTCACACCTTTCCAAGAAGAGCCTGCTCCACCCTTCGTGGCGCCCACACCGGACAACAGCCCGCCTCAAGCACGAGACCCAGAAGAGGATCTGCTATGCATTGCCAAAACATTTTCATATCTGCGGGAATCTGGTAAGAGCCCTTGGAGACTCGGTAGTGGAGCGTGCCATGTGTGCGAAAGGTGTAAATAACAAGGAAGTGGAAACATTCATGCGGTTGATGGGCAACAATGACTGTTGAAAGCTGCTTGCAGTGGAGATATGGATGACACACCATTGGGTGGCAATGGCGACAGTTCAGAAGGGCATTATAGGACTTGAGAACTGGTTGGCTTTTCATTAGATCTCAGTGCAGCCAGGCAAATGGCGCCATGTTCTTCTGAAAAGCTGGCTTGGGGAGACTGGACCTGCAGCACTACACCATGAATCCCTGCTTAGCTCATTGGGACTTACCATGTGGTCTAGTGGGTAGAGGGTCCAGCTTGGGAAAATGGGATCTGGATTCAAATCCATATTCGGCCACAAGGCTGCCTTAGACTGTCAGCCTGGATAAGTGGGGAAATCCCATAGAAGCCACCGTGAACGTACTGCAGTATGCAGTAGTAAACAAATACATCTCCTTCCCCTGTATTACTTTCTTTTATGATCGTAGATCAGGGTTTTCTAAACTTGGGTCTCTAGCTGTTTTTGGACTACAATTCCCATCATCCCTGACTACTGGTCCTGCTACCTAGGGATGATGGGAGCTGTTGTCCAAAAGCAGCTGAAAACCCAAGTTTGGGAAACTCTGTTGTAGACCCTGCACTGAGCAGGGGGTTGGAATAGAGGACCTCCAGGTCCCTTCCAACCCTATTATTCTTTGACTAGTTTGTACTTTTTCTTCTATGTGTTTCTTATCTCTCTGCCTCTCTTCTAGGCTGGTACTGGGGCTCTATCACAGCCAGCGAAGCCAAGCAGCAGCTCCAGAAGATGCCCGAGGGGACTTTCCTGGTACGGGACAGCACTCACCCCAGCTACTTGTTCACCCTCTCAGTCAAGACCAACCGAGGCCCCACCAACGTGCGCATCGAATATGCTGACAGCAAGTTCCGGCTAGACTCAAACTGCCTCTCCAGGCCTCGCATTCTGACCTTCCCGGACGTGGTCAGCCTGATCCAGCATTACGTTCTTTCCTGCACCGTGGAGAGCAAAACGGACGCGCCTTACCCGCCTCCCCTGCCTTTGCCTCCTATGCAGAAGGAGGTCTCGGCCGTGCACCTGAAACTCATCCAGCCTCTCAAGCGCAGGGACAGCCCTCCTAGCCTCCAGCACTTCTGCAGGCTACGGATCAACCGGTCGACTGCCAAGACAGACCAGTTGCCTCTACCAAAGAGAATGAATGACTATTTGAAACAGTACCCTTTCCAGCTTTGAGGGCGCTGCTGGTTTGCCTCAAGACAGACTATAGAAGCAATTTTTTTAAAAAACAACAAAAACTATAGACATAAAATAAAAATTAAAAACCTGATGGGACAGTGATGGGGCTTTGTCCCACTGACATGGTGTGGTATTATTTTAAGTGGGCACAGTAAGTTAATGGCCAGCAGAAGAGATGGCGTCCATTATACCCTCCCCGTATTTTCTCCCCAGCTATCCTAATTCCATTCCTGTGCCAAAGAGGAGGTGCTGGAATTGTGGCCATTCCAGTGCCCAAACCTCAGAGCTTCTCTTTATTTTCTGACTTTGTCTTTGAGGAAAACACACTTGGCATGTGCACACTACTTGAATTTCAGAGTCACCAACACACCGGGAATGTCGAAGCATTGTTACTGTCGTTATTTATATCCATGGTAGCTTTTATTCTTTTTCACTACTACTAATTATAATATAGATTATTACTATTACTATTATTACTATGTTTGCTTCTTTTTCAAACAAACCTGTAGCTATCCATAGTAACCCTTGGGGGACTTTGAATATCAACCAGTTAAGTTGTCTTGCTGTAGCCTTCTCCTTAATCTATGATAGTGCATTCGTACCCAGATGCCATTGGAAGCCCGTGAAAGTTGACCCTAGTCAGCTGTCAACATCTAGACTTCAGGTCCCATCATCGTAGCACACAGAATACTTCCTTCCCTCCCAAACAAGCCTATTGGGCTCAGACAAATGAGCGTATTTTTGACTCTTTCTATCTTCCCCTCTTGAAGAGGACACACCCATTCTGAAGTAGCCAATTATATACTAATGATTTGCTTTTTTAAAAAATAACACAGTGAAGGCTCCTGAGTACCTTCTGCATGGGGCTGAAGCATTTGTCTTGGTGGGGTGATCCCATCTTCAGTACTCAGACATAGCAAACTTCTATACATGTATTTATATATTTATTCCTTCCTTCCTTCCTTTCTTTGGGGGAAGGAGCCCAGCAGAAAACAGGGCACCTTTCTTCCACCATCCCAATAACACCGTCAACTGGTTGGTTCTTAAGTTTTTATGTCACTGCTTTGTTTAGTACCATGTGGCTTCAGAAAGAGCTGGATTCTGTTATTATTCACTACCTCATTGGCTAGGGGTAGCTTGACTTGTAGGCTGAAGCAGATACGTAGTTGCTTTTTGAATAACAGTGAAATCAAAAAAACTAAACTTTAATGTACCTTTTTTTTTTTTTTGCTTCCCTAAAGTTTGCCTGTGGACACTTAATACACTTTTATTCTGATCCTTGTATATGGGGAAGGGAGAGGGAGAAAGAAGCAATCAAGTGTACCATATCCAGGCAACTCTAGCACACTTTATATTTCTTAAGTTGCTGGTGGTGCCCAAGACCCCAGAATTTGCTGCGCCTGGGCCAAGATAACAAGCTTGGCATTCATTCTGCCTTCCTCAGCCTTGTGACCTGATCACTGGGGGCAGAGGATTTGTACATTCAAACTAGAATGGTTGGTCTCCCATTATATATCTAAATCCTCAGAACAATGATGGATACACTTTCCCCATAAGCCTAGAGCTGAGCTGGAGACGAGAGATTTCTGCTATGTTAAGAGACTGAGATTCAGGTAGGGCTAAGGCCCCTTTGCATCAGAGATGGGGAACCTGGAGCCCTCCATGTATTGCTGAACCACAGCTCCCATAATCCTTGACTGATGGGGCTGGTATCCAACAACACATTGGAGAGCCACAATTTCCCTGTCCCCACCTTAAAACAGGCTTGACCAACCAAAAGCTTTCCAAAGGGTTTTGGACTACATCCACTGTCAGCCAACAGCCATGCTAGCTGCAGCTGATGTACGCTATGGTCCAAAATGGCTGAAGGGCACCGAAGTTCTACAGAGTAATTTGAAAGATATATCAAACCTTCTGCTCCCATTGCCAATCCAAATGACCTGGGACATTTAGCTAATGTCTGTTTCTTTTTGTGTCCCCCTAACCCCTCTGCCTGGATTTCTTTTGTATTTCTGGTTTTATTTTGGATACTTTGATGACTGACAGAGAATGTGTGCCTGTGTGATGTCTGGTTTGTTGCTCACTGAGCTCTCCCCTGTTCCTGTTCACTGTGACAGACTGAGCAAGGGCAAATGAATGAGAACAGAGAATATATTTAAAAACAACAACAAAATACAATAAATGATATTTTTAAATATAAACAAAACACTGCAATGTTTTATTTCTAGCCTGTTGCAGAAGCCTTTTAAGCATGTTTCACTTTGCTCTACTGAAAGTACTGTAGTTACTTCAGGAAACTCACCTGCTAATATTGCAGTCCTAAATCCTGGCACCAGTGTGTCAGTTTGCTACAGTACAGGGATGGGGAACCAGTGACTGTCTAGGCTTGGCTGGACTGCAACTCCCATAATCCCTGACCATTGGCCATGCAGGCTGAGGCTGATGGGAGCTGGAGGGCCACAAATTCCCCATCTCTGCTGTATAATTGTCTATTGTGACATTGCAAGGTATTAGTCAAGGTATAAAGCTAAGGTGCCAGTATAAACCTAAGGTCACTTTTCATTGAAGAAGGTATTGCATCTGTTGTGTAAAGGTTGGAAGCAGAGGAATGGTGGAACCAGCTGGGGAACCATCAAGGGAAGAAGGCTCAGAACCCAGGGAGTGGTGGTGGGATGACAGGGGTCAGAGGAAGTAACAGGGCTTAGCGAGGTGGGAGAGGTTGTGGTGGAGAGAAGTCCAGAATCAGAGGCAGAAGCTGAAGCAGGTGAGTGGGAGGAGGGAGGCCAAGAGGCAGAAATGAATCAAGCTGGTGAAGAGTCACGAGTCTTGCCCCCTCCTGCTGCAACAAGCTCCCCTCCCACATTGTCTCCCAGAACGAGAAGAGGCATGAAAAGGACAGAGGAGACGTTAGCTACGCGAAGGCACAGTCTCTGATTTCTTGGGAAAAGCCCTAAGGAGGCAGGGTCTTTCAGTCTTGGCAACTGATTTTCATGCAGGAAGACCACCGGAAACGAACTGCTCTGCTCATTAGGCCCAACAATCAAGTCTGTGGAGATCATGTTTTTGCTAATAAAGAGTTAACTCCATCTTTGAACGGTGTGATTACAGGCCTGCACGCTCTTGTGACAGCATCCCTGCACCTACATATTTAGATCTCTGCATGCTTAGAAGCTGAGGACAATTGACAACAGTCTCAGTAGGCTCTTTGATGCAAAGAGATCTTATTTCTTTGGCGTTCCAATGGCACAGGGAGATCCAGTGCCTTAGTTAAATGGTGTAGAATTTACACATTTTCAGGGGCACTCATGAGTCATATCAAAGGAAGACATCTTGTTAGCGCAAAGTCTTCTGCCTGTGCAATGTGACTTCCTCTCCCTGTTCTTTTGCCTGAGAGACATTGCTCTAGCATCCAGGGGCTGCTGGAATCCTCATAGGGTGGGATTAGATGACAGACCCTCTGCCTCAGCATTGGTGGACTGGAAACCATGCATTGCTTGATGGTGGATCCTGCACAAGTAGATCCTGCTAACATGAAAAGCCACATCATCATAATAGCACAATTTCTTACAACAATACAACAGGACAACCCCCAAGAGTTTTATTACATCTTTACATTATTATAGTAGGTCTTCAGAGCTAAAGCAGCGTGTCTGGTTATGCCTCCCTAGCTGATCTCCTATAGGAATATACCCCACATACCTTTGTGGGCAAACATCCAGGGGCCACATGCCACTTGATGGGTGTGGGTGGAGCCACAGGCAAAATAGGTGGAGCAATAGATGTGATTCTTGCATTTGTGCAGTAGGCTATGCAGCAAACAGCCATGAAAAACCCAGATACACACCCACCCACCCACCCACACCCACCCAACCTCCAATCAGACAAGCAAGAGGGATTATCATAGTTCAAGGGTACATTCCAATCAGACAAAAAGCATTCAATGAGGGCATAGAGAAGGCTAGTGTGACTGTGGAATGATCCCAGGAGTGTCCCAGAAGCTAACTAAAGATGACTGGAGAGTCACATTTGACCTCTAGGCCAGGTGCAGGTGGTTCTTCCTGCTTAAGTATAGAACCTTACATATGTCCCTAGTGAAATTCATTCTGTTAGTTTTGCCCCAGTTTTCCATTCTGTTAGGGTCATCTTGAACCCCAATTCTACCTTCTGCAGCACTAGCTCCACCTCCCAATTTGGTGTCATCTCCAAATTTGATGAACACCCTCTCAATTCCTTAATCCAAGTTATTTATAAAGACATTGAACAACAATGGGTGCAGGACGGTATCCCACAGCAGTGGCGGAGGAAGGGGGGCGGTGGGGGCAGCCCGCCCCGGATGTCCTCCCTGATGGGAGGGTAACATTGGCACGCCTCCCCCCGGGACACTCACCATGGGCTGCACCTCCCTGTGACGCTTGCCATGGGTGGCTAGCCCCACCCTTGGGTGCACAGCATGTGCGCCGCTCCGGGTGCCGGAGCAGCTAGTTCCACCTCTGTTCTGCAGCACCCTACTTGTCACTTTTTGCCAGGATGATGAGGAACCATTAATGTCAGTCAACAAGCTACAAATCCACCTAACTAATCCACATTTTACCAGCTTCTTTGCAAGAATATCATTGGGGACTTTGTCAAAAGCCTTTCTGAAATCAAGATACACTATGTCCACAGCATCCCCATGATCCACCAAGCTTGTAACTCTATCAAAAAAAGAAATGAATTTTGTCTGGCGGGACTTGCTTTTGAGAAACCTATCCTGGGTCTTAGTAATCACAGCATCCTTTTCTAGGTGCTCACAGATTGTTTAATTATTTGTCCTAGGACCTTTACTGGCATTGATGTCAAGCTCCCCAGTTGGTAGTAAACTGGGTCTTCTTCCCCACCCTATTTAAAAATAGGGACATTTGCCTGTCTCCAGTCTGCAGGGACCTCACCTGTTTTCCAATAATTTTCAACGACTGTAGACAGAGGCTCTGAGATTTCTTTAGTACGCTTAGGTGCAGCTCATAAATGCGGGTATCAGGACCACACCTTGCTGCATGCACAGTTTTTACTCCCTGCCTTTTAGCCTTGGCCATGTTCCATTGCTCTCCTTTGAAGGCAAAGGAGTGGGGAGAGACTGAAGTGTGCCAGTTGGCTAATAGTAAAGGAAGAAACTCCCTCAACAGCAATTTCTGGCTTAGAAGGCATCGTGCTCATCATACTTTTTCATATGGTGAATAGAAATCCAGAGACAGAATGCTGGCTTAAAGCCACAAGAGCCCTAGAAGGTTTGGCCAATATTATACTCCACTCCAGAGGGGCCATGTTTGTGAGGGTGCTGAAGCATTGATGGTAAGGTGAGTCAGGGAAAAGTACACTGGGTCCAGGAGACCTGGCTTTGAATTCTAGCTAAGACAAAGACCTGAAGCCTACATGTGACCTTGGACCAGCCTCGGTCTTGCAGACTAACTTATTTCATGGGGTTGTAGTAAGGATAAAATGGGATAATCCTATGCAGGCCACTGCCCTGAGCTCCTTGGAGGAAGAGAGGAATCCATGTAATAAACAGATGCCATACTCTACTGGCTTCCAACATTTCACCAGGAAAAGCAAAGGCATTCTTGTGTGCACATAATACAAAGTCTCATTTACCTGGGAGTAAATCCTCTTAGACTCAGTTGTGCTGTAAACATCCACACCAAAATAAGAATGATTCCAACTGACAATAGAACTTGACATTGCATCATTTCCCTCCAGCCTTTTCAATAAACATTAATAACAAACAGAGTGGTGCAGATTCTTACTCTTCAGTTGAAGGGCCTCATTAATTTTAATTTTCAAAGAAGTGCTATTAGGATCACAGCTTTAGCCACAATATGAATGTGGCCCCAGGGAAAACTGTGTTGTGTTACATTGGTATAAATTTGGAGTAATTCAGAACAAAATTTGGGATCAAAACATGTAACCCACTCAGCTGCCCCACTTCTAAACATGTTGCTGCAATGTAGCAGAAACTGCAAAAAAAGAAGCTTTGTTCTAATTACAGTATAGGCCCCTATTTTTCTAGATGCCAAGGGCTTCACATGAACACATTGCCTTGCTTGCTGTCACAATAAGTTGTAGAGGTCAGGGATGTATCTCTCTCGCTGACTCCAACTTATTTTATCTTTAATGACCATTTCCCATTCCTGCATTTGGGAAGTTCTTCCAAAGCAGGCATGCTCTGGATAAAAGAACACCAATTTTCAGTAGAGACTGAATTCATTTGTACAGCTAAGTTATAAATCCCTGCAAACAGAGGTGTGAATGGCTATGCAAGCAGGCCTTTAATTATACCAGCATGAGATTCCCTGCTACAATATGCCTTTCACTGCGATAAGCCATTCATGTGATGTTTGCACAATGAAGCACACAAATTAGATTAGAGCAGCAGATTTTGCACAAGCAGTATATTGAATAAAGATTATAGGCATGTGGGGAGTGCATACAAAGCACAACTCAGGTTAGTTCATTGGGGGAGGAAGTAGGGGTAGAGGGGAGGCAGAGGTCGTTGGGGGTGGTAGATGCAGCCCGACTGTCACTGTGCAATGTGTCCGAGTGGAGTCAGTTGATTTTCCTGCCAAATGGTAAAGGAGACTCACACCACTTTTCTTCACCTGATCAGAAACCTCTTGTACATGAACCCTAGAGGCTCGTAGCGTGAGGTGACTGCTAAATATAACACAGAAATAAATAGTAAAAGAAATTGGCAGGCCCAATACAGATAACCAGTCTACTGCAAAGCAATTACTTGCACTCTGCAGCAAACCACTACTAGGGAATTGCCTCTTTTATCAGGCCTGAGCCACATCTGTCCATGTGCTCATCCACCACTACCACCAAATTCTAAAGTGTCTAAAACTATTAGGGCTCGCCCACACTTCTTCTTTTCCCTAGAAAGCACAGGTCTGAGTGGTTTTGCGTTTGCCTTGCTGCTTCCCCTTGGGAAATCCACTCTTTAGTGCTAAATCGGAGCAAACATCAATCCAGAGAAAACCCTATTGACGTTTGCTCCAATTCAGCGGTAAAGAGCAGGTTTTCCCAGAGGAAAGTGGCAGGGCAGGCGGAGCGCTTTAAAAAGTAATTCCCTGCCCTTAGGTTCACACTCTAAAATCAGCAAAAACCAGTGCCAGCAGAATGAGGCCATCTCAGCATCACCATCAGCTGCCTTCAGGTGCGCAAGAGGATGCTGCTGTCCTGTCTCCAGTACTAAAGAAAGACCAGTTGGCTCCTGAACACACAACTGGGGGTGGGACACACGCCATCTTATCCTTTGCCTCAGGCAGCAAAGTGTATTGAGCCATTCCCGAACAATGCACTAAAGTAAGAGGATTAAGAGACTAGGTGGGAGGGATGAGGAAACATGAGCTTATAGAAGACAATGCAGTGCAGAATACACAGGTGTTTTGTTTTTTGTTGAAATGTTGAAAAGAAGAAAGAGAGGAGGAAAGATGATAGATACCCTACCAAGTTCATATGCGCACTGTCAAGGCTGGAGTCAGATGCAGGTCAGAAATCCTTACTGTGCAGTTCAGCCACCAACACACCAAGAAATCAAAGGGTTAACTCATCCTTATTTTGGTCTCATCTAGATTACATGCCACTCACATCCATACTTCCCTCTGGGACATTCAACACTCAGCTGACTAGTTACCACTTGCCATCAAAAGAAAGGATTGGCTTTTTTTATAAGTGGCTTAGAGGTTTCATTGCAATGGATTCATCACACCCACTTGCACAGTTCGGGATTAATTTCTGGGTTCATCTGACCTGCTGGGTAAGGAATGCCATGTGGTGTATATGTTACTGGTGGAAAACTTGCTGGAGAGTATCATGTGTCGGTTGACACTGACAGGGTAACCCTATGCATATTCTCTCAGAAGCAAGTCCCAACTAGTTTGAGAGGGTGAAGTGGACATAGAATTGGGCTGTGAAAGCCATTTCCCAATCCCCCACAGTTCTTGTGGAGGAGGAGCGCATAACTACATAGGAAGAGGCTGTTGAATCAGGCCAACAGCCCATTTAGTCCAGCATCTTGTTCTCACAGTGGCCAACCTGTGTGAAGACAGATGTGTTATTTTTTAAATGGTGATTATAAAATTGAAAAAAAAAAGATCAAAGGATTATTCAACACAACTTTCTAAAATGTACACTGCTGGCTACAAATAACTTGGAGGAAATATGAAGTGTTAAGCCAAAACAAAACAGTCAATGATGACTTGACTGACAGGAGTGCTCTGGACTTCACTATTTTGGTCTTATTGTTCCTCAATCACTTGCTCTGGCCCAGATGGGCAAGCAAACAATGACTGTGGTGAGGTGGAGGAAGGGAAGCAGCTGCAACTGCTGGCTTGCTTATTGGTTCTGGCAAGCGAGAAGGTGGCACAGCTGTGATGAGGCCAAGGAGCAGGAACATCTGCCAGCAATGGCAGTGGGAAGGTAGGCTCCCTGCAGGAGGAAGGGCCTATGGAGAATGTCTTGCCCAAGGGCCCCTCAAGACCTGGAGCTGGCACTGGCTTTTTTCCAACAGCAATTAAATTCCTCGCAGAGCTCCTTATTGCTGCATTCAGTTTAACCCGTTTTTCCAGACCACCTTGCAATTCTTGCTGCTTGCCTTAATTAAACTGAGATCCTCGCGGCAAAGACTCTAATAGCAACAGAAAGTACTATTAAGTCATTCCTTGACTTAAGGAGATTATGCGGTTTCACCCAGGAGGCTTTCGTATTTGGTCCATTAATTTGTCACAGCTTCAGGCTTAGACCGAAGGTAATGTCTGCAGACAGTATGTTCCCCAACACCCGTCTCCATCTGACACGGAGGTCCTTCTGACTCTGAAGCTTCTGGGCCATCGCAATAAGTTCAAGATCACCCCCGTTCCCACCTGCTGCGGCAGATGTCGAAATATATCGACAATTATTTCAGCTGAGCACTGTTGCCAGAAAGCAAGCTATCCATTTTTTGCTCCGAAATACAAAATGTCTGTTAGCTTTCAATACAAAATGGAAGGAAAGCGGTCTTTAAGGAAGAGACCTGTTGTGGCTGGGTAGCCTGCATCTGGTGTGGTGGGTGGGCCTCAGTCATAGTCCCACAAATTTACAGCGAAGATAGGAACAAGTTCAGCTGTGACCTGAAGCTTTAGTTAGTTCATTGTTCCAGAAACAGTGGCAATACCATGGTGGGGCAGCTGCGGACAGCCCACCAACACTTGAACAAGGCCCCTTGCCTGGTCCCAAATTTACCAAATGGCTGCAGTGGTTTGGTAATTCATTATAAAACAACCTTTTGATATTACCACTATGTCCCAGAATGCTGCTGCACCAGGGTGTTAGGGGAGGGGGCATGAAAAGAGTGGGTTGCTTGCAGGCACCTACTGCAGATCATAGTGATGCAGTGCTTCTGCAGACACTTACTGCAGATGTGGGTGTTTCAGGAGTTGGGACCTGCAGGATTTCACTTGGGGGTTGAAATTGCACCTGGAGTTGGCTTTGAATTGGACTATCAATTAAAACTTGAAGTTCTCCCTTCAGTTTTAAATGCACTGCACCCACAGTTATTTTGCACAACTAAAGAAGTACCAAACTACATGGCTACTCTGTCAAATGTGATCTATGACAGTAGCTCCTCAGTCATTAAAGGACTTTACTATACAAATGATAACCAATGAAAAATAAGCAAGTAAGGGGGAGAGAGGGAGAGAAATGCTCAGTCTCCCACATTTGGTTCTTGTGTCAGAATTTTTCACCTCATTGTAGTTTTATTTGGTAATAATTTCTAAAGCATTTACACAGAGGTGGGATGGGGGGAATAGGAGTGGCTGGCATGGTGGTACAGAGCTGCCCTACAAACCACTTACCTGAAAGGTGAAGAGGTGCAGCGGGCAGGTGGAAAGATCAAGGCTGGGCATGGATACCTTTTTCAGCCTGAAGGCAACATTTAACACTATCAGCAATATTTATACTGATCTTCTTATGCCGCTTATGGCTTTTCATTCTTATCTAACAACAGCCCAGTTCTCAAGGAGCCCTGTGGGTGCAAACCTGATTGCACTGAATTTCGTGCTCCTCCAGGTGGCTGTTTTCATCCCAATTTGCTTGCTCAAAACAGGGAGTTTATATGACAACAAGCATTCATCCTAATTTGCTTGCAGGATATTCCCAGTGCTGTTTTTCCAGAGAAAGAGGTGCTGGATCTTACCATGAATGTCTCCCTCGTTCTCTAATGATGGCAATGGCACCCACTTGAGAGGTGCAGGTTCCGGCTGAAAAAAAGGCCCTGCATCTTCCCATTAATTGTTTGTTCGCTGCATTTTCAATGCATTTCCCCATCACTTTCCTAACTGCAAAACTTGTGTTTCTTTTTCCAAAAGCAGATTTCCTGTGCTAGGGCAACAAAGCACTTTAATCCGTTTTGAATGCACCAACTTCAGTTTCCCAATATGTGCTTGAATCCCTTCTGCCAAATATAGACAGTCTGGAGGCATCCTCAGTCATCTGAGGATAGTTTGCACAACAATCCTTCTAGTAGTCATGAGAGAACCTGCTGCTATTGAACTCCTTTGTTAATCTTGGAAACTTTTGCAATCTAGAGAAACTTCAAGACACCTCAAATCAGCATAAGTCTATAATCTGCCTATCTATATTTTGTTTCATTGTTCCATGGTTGCTCGTTGTCCTGATTGGTAGGTCATGATTGTGACACACTATTTACAAAGTTTCAGCCTTCTTTAGCCCCTTTGTGCAAGCACATCTGGAGAACACAATGCCAAATGCCACGTCACACATTAAATTTTCAGCGCGCACACACACAAAGTAAAATGGGAGTGCTGAAAACACATGGATCATATGGAATCTCTTATTACTGCTGTGATAGCTCAGCAGTCGATAGGGCATGAGACTCTTAATCTCAGGGTTGTGGGTTCGAGCCCCACATTGGGCAAAAGATTCCTGCATTGTAGGAGGCTGGACTAGATGATCCTCATGGTCCCTTCCAACTCTACAGTGTTGGACTGGCTGCAGGTTCCTGGGTTTCCTCCCATGCAAGGTGTGAAGGGGATTTGAATTCATTTCTCAAAAGAAAGAGGGAAAGCAAGCAAGCAAGCAAGCAAGCAAGCAAGCAGGAAAGAAAGAAAGAAAGAAAGAAAGAAAGAAAGAAAGAAAGAAAGGCAGGCTAAGAAGTGAGTGGTAGCACAAGCACATTCATAAACAACCTCCGAGATTATTTTTTAGACCTTGATTTTAGCACCAGCCATGAAATCCGTTGTCACTTGGGAGCTTAGCTGTGCCAGGTCAGTAATGCCCACACTATTTTGTACTACCTGTTCCCACTGCAATTTGTCCATTAGTGCACAAGCCGTTCTCTCCTTTTTTTAACTGTGTGAGTAACTTCTTGTTAAATAAGCCACCTGCCCCCCCCCACGCTATCTGCTGCAGTCATTCATAGGCACTATGTACTCAATAACTCGCAGAAGTTGTAGCCATTCCAGCTTGCTGGTATCTACAATGGTGCTCTAGCTACTCATTAGTGTAGCTCGGAAGAAAACTGGGCCAGAGACTGTAGGCCTAAGACAGACTTACGCAACAGCCTTTGGCTTCCTGAGAAAAGGATGAGGTCTGCTTGCCAACCAGAAAGTTCATGTAAAACATGAGGAGGAGGAGGAGGAGGAGGAGGAGGAGGAGACAATGTGACTATTAAGTATTTTACAGGCTGTTGCAATCAGACCTGGAATCTTATTCAGAAAAGAGCAATCAAAATGATCAAGGGGATGGAGCGTCTCCCCTATGAGGAAAGCTATGACATTTGGGGCTTATTAGTTTAAGAAACGGCGAGTAAGAGGCAACATGACAGACATTTATAAAATTATTCATGACATGAAGGAAGTGGAGAGAGAGAGAGAGAGAGAATTATTGGATATCCAATGAAGCTGAATATTGGAAAATTTAAAAGAAAAGCACTTCTTCACACAGTGTATAGCTAAACCAAGCATCCCCAACCTGCGGCCCTCCAGATGTTTTGGCCTACAACTCCCATGATCCCTAGCTAACAGGACCAGTGGTCAGGGATGATGGGAATTGTAGCCCAAAACATCTGGAGGGCCGAAGGTTGGGGGTGCCTGAGCTAAACCATAGAATTTGTTCCCACAGGATGTGGTGATGGCCACCAAAAGAGGATGACATACTGTTACACAGGTGGTGCGCCAGCCCCTCAACTTCTGCTGAGTGGTAGCAAGAGTCCTTGGGGTTCCAGGTCCTCACCCTTGGGTCGTGTTGAGAATCAAGACACAGTGGAGGCTGTCGTAGCTTTAAGAAACAGAATCACAGAAAGGTAGAACGGCAGAGCCCAATCCCCTGCAATGCAGCCATCTCAATATGCAGTCTCCCATCCAATTTGAAACCTACTGGAACCTGCTTAGCTCTTCAGATGTGCTAACAGTTTTATTGCTGCACTGCTATTTATTCACATATTTACACCTGAAGTTAGACGGCTGGAGTTCAGCTCTTACAGAATGGTTATCTCAAGAGGGCCTTGTTCATGCGCATAGCCAGGACTTTTGTTAGGGGGAGCAGGCCTTTTGTTGGGGGGGGGGGACAGAACTTCAGTTTGCCATGTATTTTTATTGATTTTTTATTGATTTGGGGGGGCAGCTGCCCCTCCCTACCCACCTGGCTACACCCATGGGCTTATTTCCCACAGCAGTGCAGTCAAAGGCATTTCTTCAAGCCAGCCTTCTGCTAGCCTGTCAAGATCATTCTGGCCTTTGTTCCCCTTCTTCTTCCCAAGCAACTTCTCCTCATCCATCAATTATCCCAAGCCTTTTTTAAAAGAGGCACATTTCCCCTCTGAGCACAGCCTGCCCCCACTCCCTTTGACAACCCTTGTCTGCCCAGGCCTACGATGATGATCATCAACACCTTTTGTCATGTTAAGGCTTGGAAAGGAAGCTTAGCTTGTACTTTTCCACTGGCATGGAATCTCCCCTTCAATACTCCAAATATTAACTAGATTCTGACATTCATTAAATTCTTGGGTTTAGGAGGTCTTCCCTGCAAACCTGTAACAATACATTCGTGGAAGAGAATGCTAACTATGGCTACTAGCCACGATGTGCATGCTCTGCCTCTTGTGTTCGGGTCCTGCTTATCATAGAACTGTAGAATTGGAAGGGACCCCAAGGGTCATCTAGTCCAACCCCCTGCAATGCAGGAATCTCAGCTAAAGCTTGCTGGTTTCCCATGGGCATCTGGTTAGCCACTGTGTGAACACAATGCAGGACTAGATGGATCCGGCAGTGCTATTTTTTCTAGAAAAAGAGGTGCCGGAACTTGCCATGAACGCCTCCCCTGTTCTCTTATAATGGCAATGGCACCCACCTGAGAGTGTCGGTGAGTTCTGGCTGAAGAAAAAAAAGCCCTGGCTGTTCCTATTTTCTTATGATTCTAATCTCCTCTGGCACATAAATAAATAAATGAGCAGAGTGATATTTAACAACACCGAGAGATGAAACAAATCCGTGGTGTTATATAAAGGCAGCAGGAAGATCGACGTTATGCTGTTGTGTAACTAGCTTTTCCAAGAATACTATCTTAGTCAGACGTCAGTTAAGTGGAGGCAGGGTGGAATAGGACTTGCCTTTGTAATATTATGAAAAGGGAGTGGCTCATTAATAATAGAGCTGGCTTTCCATGAGAAGCCCATTAGCTACCAAAAGCAATTCATCTGCGCAAGCATTTTGAGCACTGCAAAATAGTGACAGCTATGGCTGGAGGAATTCCCACAGCACTTCTCCACATTTGGTTATGGATTTCTAAACTGCTGTCTCTTGCAGTTTTCCCTTTGAGTGATGTGGGGCTGGCTTTACAAGCCCAAGCAAGTGGGGACCCTATTAGATTTTAGAACTACAGCAGCTCAGTTGCCACTGGAAGGAAAGGAATAGACTTCCTAACAGGATGAATAAATAGGGGGCGGGCGGGCTCAGAAACAGATTTGTCTAGAGCTCGAGGACATGCTTGTTGATTTTTGTTAAGCAATTTCTAACAGGAAACTCACCAAGCAAAGGCAGGAAATTGTTTTGTTCCATTGTAGTGGGGATTCCCCAATGGAACTTTTTTTTTAAAAAAATGTTTTTATTATGTTTTCTGCAAAATTTTACAGACAAACCACACAAGAGAAACACTAACAACTTTATGAAAAAATAAAGGCAGGAACAAAAAGCGAGTGCCTGCTATTTATATCCTGCTCTACAAGGGAAAGTTAGTTTGGAAAGCACCGACAAAATACATAATAAAATTAACAACAACAGCAATAATAAAAGTTCAAGCTGGAGACCAACACTGTTGTAGAATTGTACCTAATCCAAACTGAGCTTTTTAATTTAGGTGGAAGGATTTAACCACCTGACTGCAACACATGAACGATCAGTTGGTACCCTGTACTGTCAAGGGTTTGTTTTGATTTTACTCATCTCAATAGTCTGTTACATTATGTTAATTTATCTGCCATGGTCAAAAAACATACTTTCCTCAAATGGAACTTAAGAGAATATATGACGGGTGTTTGGGGAGTTTCCAGAAAATTGGGACTGTGCCAGAGTCCTGAAACCCCACTGTGTTGTTTTCCTGGGAACAGAAAGTTGGATAGGACCATGGAGGTTATCTTTTCCAACCTACTGCTCAGTGCAGGAGATAATAATAATAATAAAAATAAATTTTTATTTATATCCCGCCCTCCCCAGCCGAAGCCGGGCTCAGGGCAGCTAACAACAATAAAATAAGACAACATTTTAAAATCATTTCATTAAAAAATTACTTCAAATCAAATTGATGGCAACCATTGGGTAGAGTTCTGTGAAGATTGCCAAAGGAGGGAGTCAGGCTGTGCCCTGGCCAAAGGCTTGGCGGAACAGCTCTGTCTTGCAGGCCCTGCGGAAAGATGTCAAGTCCTAATCCAAATTGAGGTTTTAAATTTAGTTGGAAGGATTTAACCACCTTACTGCAACACATGAACGATCATGGCAGAGCGTTCCACCAGATCGGAGCCACAGCCGAAAAAGCCCTGGCTCTGGTTGAGGCCAGCCTAACCTGTCTGTGGCCTGGGACCTCCAAGATGTTTTTGTTTGCAGACCGTAAGTTCCTCTGTGGGACATACCAGGAGAGGCGGTCCCGTAGGTACGAGGGTCCTAGGCCGTATAGGGCTTTGAAGGTTAAAACCAGCACCTTAAACCTGATCCTGTACTCCACCGGGAGCCAGTGCAGCTGGTATAGCACCGGATGAATGTGATCTCGCAGCGAGGACCCCGTAAGGAGTCTCGCTGCAGCATTCTGCACCCGCTGGAGTTTCTGGGTCAGTCTCAAGGGCAGCCCCACGTAGAGCGAGTTACAATAATCCAGTCTGGAGGTGACCGTCGTGTGGATCACAGTGGCTAGATCAGGGCAAGAGAGGTAAGGAGCCAACTGCTTAGCTTGGCGGAGATGAAAAAATGCCGCCTTTGTTATAGCTGCAATCTGCGCCTCCATGGAGAGGGAGGTGTCGAAGATTACAGCCAAACTCTTAACAGACGGTGCTGGCACTAATTGCGCCCCTGCAAGAGATGGGAGTTGCCCCCCCAATCCCATATCGTCCCGACCCAGCCAAAGGACCTCTGTCTTCGGAGGATTTAACTTCAACTGGCTCCCACGTAACCATCCAGCCACAGCTTCCAAACATCTGATCAGTGTGTCTGGGGCCGAGTCAGGATGGCCATCCATCAACAGATAGAGTTGGGTGTCATCAGCATACTGATGGCAGCCCAACCCAAAACTCCGGATAAGCTGGGCGAGGGGGGGGGGGCATAAAGATCCAGAGCTAGAATATACCAAAAAATGAATAGTTACTCAGTCTCTGCCTAAAGACCTCCAATGGCAGAGACAACTTCCTCAGCTTCCCCCTGAATTGCTGGTATGTTGAGCTGGACTCCTTGCATACCTTACACAGCAGTCTTCTGAATGTTCAGTCATGTAGCTACCACACCATCTGTGCTCTCCTATTGGATAACTAGCAGCTTTGCTGGGCGTCACTTGATGAGGAAAATGGACATCAGGGCAGGGTTCAAGCCCTCCTCTAACACCCACTTAGCACAGTGCATCCCAATCATATTTAGGCCCACCATTTATGATTTGTTCATGGATCTTCCAGTGTCTCTTTTCGTGGCTTCCACAGTGCGAAGACCTGTGGAATTCCCGCCCCCCCCTTATGTCACAACCTCTGTGACATAGCCAAAGAGCCACAGGACAACAGCCCTTCACCTCTTGCCCTTCAGTTTGTGCCGCAAATAAAAATAAAGCAAATCATTTGCTTTTTTTAAAAAAATATATATTTTATTAAGGATTTTCTTGTTTTACAGAAGTGTAGTGCCTCATTTTTTTTTTTTCATGTAACATTTTTACAAATCCGTTTCATTTGTTGAGGCATTAGGGGGGAGAAGAAGAAAGAAAGAAAAAGAAAGGGGGGTGGAGAGAGGGAAGATGGATAGGGGTGGGGTCGGATGGCGGTGTTTCTATTATGTTTAATGTATGTAGAGTTTGGTGTCAGCGTTGCTTGTCTTGTTCACTTGTGTTCCTTTGGTGGTGAGAGAGGTTGGGGTTGGCCTAGGGTGTGATTGTTTGCTTGTGATTGGCTGTGGTGATCTTTGTTTTCGTGTGTGAGTGAGGTGGGTGGGTGTTTTGGATCAGGTTAGCCATATTGATTTGTATGCTGTTGGTGGATTATTGTCATTGTCCTGTTGGGCTGTGTATGTGATAAGGGGAGCCATACTGGGGTGAAGGCGTCTTCTTCTGTTTGTCCCCGTGTCAGTTTCAGTTTATTAGTTAATTTTTCTAGTAGGGCTGTTTCCCATACTATTTGGTACCATTGGTCCATGCTTACTCCTGACAGGTCTCTGCAGTGTCTGGTTATGGTGTTTCTGGCTGCTGAGAGCAGGTGGGTTATGAGTTCTTTGTGGTGTAAATGGGCATTGTTGTCTTGGGGCTTATTCTTGGTTTTTTATGTGAGAAGATGAAAGAGTGTAGTTTTCTCTCCCAACTGCGAAGTTGGGTTGAGGGGATCCAGATTGGGAGGGTTTGGAATAGGTAGGTTAGTTTTGGGAGTGTGATCATTTTGATCATGGCTATTTTGTCTGAGAGAGTGAAGTTCATGTTATTCCATCTCTTTAGGTCTTTGTTAATTTGTCGCCACAGGGGCTTGTAGTTGTGGAGGTACAATTTATTGAGGTTTCTGGTTATTTGTACCCCTAGGTATCTGAACTTGGTGTGGCAAAGTTTTATTTTGGTGACCTTCGTGAGTTCTTTTTGGGTGTGAGGAGGGGTGTTGAAGCACATAGCTTCTGACTTTGTAAAATTTACCTGTAGGCCCGACACCGTTGCAAATGTGTTGAGTTCTCTGATTAGGGAGGTTGCTGTGCTTATGGGGTCTGGTGTTGTGACCATTAGGTCATCTGCAAAGAGCCCTAATTTATAGGTTCTGCCTTTTATTTCCACTCCCTTGATGTCTGTGGCTGCTCGGATGTGGATTGCTAGGGGTTCCAGAGCCAGGATAAATAAGAAGGGAGACAGTGGGCATCCTTGTTTCGTGCCTCTTTGGATAGCTATAGTGTTAGAATCCATATTGTTAGTTCTGCATTTTGCTGAGGCTTGGGAGTATATTTGTTTGAGGATTTGTAGGAAGTTGGGGCCAAATTTCATGTTAGTTAGTACTGCTAGTATGTATTTCCGCTCCAGGCAATCAAAGGCTTTGAGGATGTCTAGGGACATAATTGTCAATGGGAGTTTGGTTGCCTTGCTGTGTTCGCTCGGGTTCAGTAGTTTCCTGATGGGATCTGTTATATTGCGGCCAGGGACAAAGCCAGTCTGGTCTGGGGTTATTAACTTGTGTAGGAAGATTTTTAGGCGGTTGGCCAAGATTGATGTGAATATCTTGTAGTCTTGGTTTATTAATGAGATTGGGCGGTATAATTCTACTTTGAGGCTGTCTTTTAGTGGTTTTGGGATGGAGACTATTTTGGAGTGGGTCCAGGTTTTGGGGATGGGGCCCCCTTTATGATGTCGTTGAATAGGCGGGTCATGTAGGGCATCAAGGGTTCTTTGAATTTCTTATAGAATTCTGCTGTGAAGCCGTCTGGGCCTGGGGCTTTGTGTGGTTTCAGGTTTTTGAGGACCGCATCTATTTCCTCTGGGGTGATAGGGCTGTCCATGAATTCCTGTTCCTCATCAGTTAGGGTAGGCATGGTCAGTCCTGCTAGAAATGTTCTGATTTCCTTCTCTGGTGGGTTATGGGAGGTGTATAGGTTGGAGTAGAATTCTGCAAATTCTGAGGTTATTTCTTCGGGGAGAATGTTATGTTGCCGTCTTTTTGGTGATGCGGTGTATTCTTGTTTTGAGTGTTTTTTCCTACATCTATTTGCTAGTGATCTGCAGTTTTTCCTCCATATTCGTAGAAACGTTGTTTAGAGTATAGAATGTTGATCATTGTTTTGTTAATTTCTAGGAGTCTAGTTCTCTCCTTTTTTGTTCTATAAGTTTGAGGAGTTTTTAGATCCTGTTTGTTTGTAGCGTGATGAGAGGGCTGTGATGTCTTGTTCTATTTTGCTAATTTTTGAGGAGGTTTGTTTTTAAGGAATGTTTTCTCTTTTATGCAAGTTCCTCTGGTGACCGCTTTCATTGCGTCCCATAGGAGGGGGGTTGTTATATTGTTTACATCGTTTTCTTTGAAGTAGTTTTGGAGGGTTTTTGTGAGACTCTCTCTAATTTGTTTGTTTGTAGTTAGGATGGGACTGAAGGACCATGATGGGGTGGTTTGTGTTCCTTCTCCTATTTTAACAATGACTTCTACTGGGGCGTGGTCTGTGATTTTAATGTTACCTATGTTTGTTGATTCTACTGATTCTACTGAGGGGATCAGACCCCTTTTTTTTAGCATTTTTAGTAACTTGTAAGAGTTCCTGGTTGTTGGGGGTTTCCTTTGGAGGAAGATTGCCCATGGGGTTGTGGGGTGGATATCTTTCAGGGATATACCTTTCATATTTAGATTGAGGTCCCCTCCTAGGATTGCTTCCCCTTCAGAGAAGGAGAGGAATTTGTTTAGTGTCTTCTGGAAGAATTCTAATTGTTTTGTGTTTGGGACAACAGCAAACAACTGGACAACGGTACAGAAGAAAAAGAAACAACAGAAGCGGCACAACAACGCAAACCAATACAGTTAAGGTGGAAGTTGGGGTTGGGAGTGCGCTCAGAAACAGAGACAGACAAATAGGCTATATGTAAAGGGTGGAGGGAGAAAAAAGGGAAGAAGAAGAAGAAAGAAAGAAGAAGAAGGGGGGAGGCGGGGGGAGAGGGGAGATTGGAGTAAAAGAGGAGAGAGAGAGAGACAAAAAGAGAGTTGAAAGAGAGAGGAGAGATAGTACAGTAATATCAGCGGTATTAGAGTGCAGCAGTAGTTTTAGCTATAGTATGAGGGGGGCAAATTATGATAGGGTGATATGAATGTGTGTATGTGTTTCCTTTAGGGGACGGGGGGGATGGAGAGAGGGAGGAGGGAAAGAAAAGGAGAGGAGGAGGGGGAAGGGTGGGAAAAGGAAGGAGAAGAAAAGAGAGGGGGAGAGGGGAGGGAGGGAGGATGAGCTGCTGCAATGGTATGGGGGAAAGTCTTATTTTAAAAGAGGGGTGGGGGAAAGGGCTCCCTCTCAAAAACAAACTGACGAACAGGCTAAAAGGGGGGTTGATTTTAAAAATAAAAGGGATAGAAAACAAAATTGGGGATGGAAAATGAAAGGTGGGATAAAAGGAAAAAATGAGGAGGGGTGAAGAGAGAGGGGAGAGCAAAAAGGGAGAGAAAAATAAAAAAGGGGGGAAGTTGAGGGAGAGAGTATCAATAGCAATAGCAGTGATATGGAGGAAATTTTTGTTTTAAAGGAGAGTGGTGGTCGTAGCTGGGGCGAAAGATTCCCCCTCAAGAACAAGCCAACAAATAGAAAAGAAAGGGCTTTAAAAAGAGAAAGAGGGGAAATTGTATGGTGTGTGTTTTTTAAATAATAATAATAATATTTTCCCTAATTATTGTTATTATTTTTTGTTTGTAAAAAAGTAATTAAAAATGTACGGGTAAAAGATAAAAATGAGAATTAAAGGTAAGGGGGAAAAAGGGGGGGGTTGTCTTTAGATAGATAGATAGATAGATAGAGCTTTTTATTTTATTTTTTTAAAAAATGAGTAAAGTATAGGTAAAAGAGGATAGGTAAAAGAGAGTGGAAAGTCTGGGGCGAAGTGGCAGTCCCAGGAAATGGCCTGTGATGGTTCAGGGCTGTTTTCTGGGTACTGCCATTTTAATTCTTAAGAGGGGAGTTTGAGGTGGAAATAAAATGAGGTTTAAATTGAGGGTGTGTGGAAAAGTGTGTCTTTAAATAGTGTGTGGAAAAGATAGAAATAAAAATAAAGATTCAAATAAAGGGTGGCTGCAGCAGCAGTGGCCCCTCTTTTAAAAAGAAAAGTGATAAAAGTAGGTATATGGTGGGGGAGGGATAAAATATAGATATATATATATATATTTATATATATATTTAAAGGGGAGGGAGGGGGAGGAAGGGGTTAAGAAAAAGGGGTTAAAAAAGAAAGAAAGGGAAAAAAGGTAGTTTCTTCCTTTCTGTGATCTCCTTTGTTATGCGGCTTCTCTGTGTTTTCCTTGCCGCTGGAGCTGTCGGGCTCAGCCACGTGTTTTTTCCCCCCGGAGCCTTTTTTGCCTTCCCGTGCTCACCTACCTCTCCTCTGCTTTCCCGTCAGCAGAGATGGGGGCAGCAGCGGTAAGTTTGGGGCTCCTTTTTCTTTCTTTCTTTTTCTTCCTCTCTCCCCCTTTCTTTCTCCCTCTTTGCGTTAGCTCCACTGTCCTCCTGGTTTTGGAGCTCCTCTCGGCTGTTGGGGGGGGGTGGTTGGGTGCCTTTCCGGCTCAATCTCAGTCGTGGGGGTGTGTGTTTTGGCTCCTTTGATAGATGCCCGGGCACCCCCGATTCCTCTCCGCTGGCGGTGCTGGCGGCAGCAGTCCTGAGAGCCCGGGAGTCGGCCAGACAGAGCCTTTTACTCTGGCTGGCTTCAGGAGCTCTTTTCTGCTGTTGCAGCCACCATGCTGCCTCGCCGGAAGTCCCCAAATCATTTGCTTGTGAGCTCTTAAATCTCTTTTTATAGTAGCCTTTCTGATT